CATTTTAAAGCGGCCCTCCCAAAGGCATGGTTAGCGTCACAGTGATTAATGCCCAACATAAAGGTTTCTGAAACAGGGGCCGATAGTTTTTGGAGGGCTTTGTGCCCATGACCTTCTTACCTGGGAGATATGACATTACCGGGAAAAGCTTGTTATTATTAATGAGAGAGGTGCTTCTGCCAGTAAATAACAGCAAGTAACATACTGACCTTTGCATTGACGTTGGCTGTGAACCCTCCCAAACCCCTGGCAAGGCAGTGTATTCGATGCGCACAATTAACATTCGCCGTTTGCTAAAGTGAACGTGAACACATGAGCCGTAGCTTCACATTATTCAAGGTTCTTTAAAGTGCTTGCACTCGTGTGCGTGTGTGTGTGACTTAGGGCGCACATTCAGCCTCCGTGCTCTGAAATCATTAGTGGATAAACTTGTAAGCTTGCTCTATAATTTATCTGCAGAGTTTGGCCCTTGACCTAATGTAATTGAATCGTTATTTATCGCAGTGTGCAGATGGTAATGTGAAGTGATTGCGATAATTTGGCGCGATTACCAGCCTGAATTAGGTGCATCTATCATTACGCAAGTGTAGACTGCTTTTAACAAAACACCACTAACATCCGCACATGGCCTTGTCCATGAAAACTACAATATTGTTTCAGTATATGACTTTTATTCAGAGCTGAGCTATTCCTGAAAAAGTACCATTGCACAGGGTGATGATAATGCGAGTTATGACGCCTTTTCAGTTAGCGATTATGAAAGCCGTTAACCCATTGTCAATATCGCGGCGTAATTTTTCACAAAATATTTTTCAGATTTCCCCTACGCCCAATAACCCCCAACCCACTGGACCCCTCTGGGGAAAGGGGGGGGGGCAGGAAATAGTTTCTGGGGCTTAACCCCAGACAGTTACGTTTTAAATGAAGCCCTGGTCACCGTAGTCCAATATCACACTGGAAGCGAGCGTCTCAATACTTTTGCCCTTCCAGACTTTTAAACGATCCACTGCCCAACAACACAAAAGAGAGCTCTGTTATCGACGGCACCGTCGCGCACGGTGCAAAACAGCAGGTGCGGCTGGGTTACCGGCGGCGCGTCGCCCGCACACAGACCGTGGCCTGGCCTGTGAAAGGGGCTCACTCTGCCAAGAACTGTTGCGTTAGCCTGATTGAGAGGCAGCCGCAGTCCGGCGTACGAGACCGCTGATCAAAGCAACGTGCGAGCTGGCGGCGTTGTTTAGAGCGGCCGGACGGGCCCGGCTGTGAAAGAACGTCTGGGAGCGTGACTCGGATTTGGAGTCGCCCAATTCAGACATGAAAGCTTTGGCTCTTGCCACACTGACCCTGTCCTCTATGCTCCACGCGTTTGATCACGGGCACCGCAGTTTGCAATTTATCACCCAACCAAGAAGCTGCGTATATATATATCACTCCGCTTTATGAGCTGTGTCCATGTGCTCATGTGTGTATATTGTTACAAAAAATATCTTCATGCCATGATTGAAATGTCTCCTCTGCAATTCCCATTAAATCTAAAAACCCAGGCTGGTTCGTTTAACCATTCAGAGTGAAGTTTGGATAAATCCGAGACGACCATTAATATCTTCTTTGTAAATATACCTTCAAATCATGTTGGAAACATCGTAGTTTCAGGTTTTGGCAAAACTTGAAGTGTTTTCTGTACAATCGTTTGCTCACACTCTACCAGCCAATTGGAAGGAACATTTGATAAGGGAATTACATCACCACTGAGGGCAACGTTATATCCCTTACCGACGTGCAGCATCACGAATGTGGATTAACATTGATCATACTAAATAACACCAGTAATAATAATACAAATCAGCCCTTTGAATGAAGGCCTCCCTCCCCATCCTTTGTCGACATGGGAAATGTTTGACCATCTTCTAACACTCTGGTCAGTGTGCAAAAAGGGGTTAGGACCCAATTAAGTTATCACTTGCCACTGACGTTAGCCATGGCCAACAGTTGAACTCACGTCAGCATGTTGTTAGGGCGGTGCGCTCATCACGGGGGCCACCGGAACCCTTGTGAGTATTGTCAACGCGTATTATTTAAGCGTAATGAGGTCGACGGTGCAGTAACAATTATTTGCTGTTCCCAGCACAAAATAATAGCCGTACGTATGATCGTACTTTATTGCGATGTGTTTTCAATTGTTTGCACGCTTGGTTTATTGTTCACAATGCAGCCGAAGCCCGAGGAAGTCGTTGCAGTTACATTTTTGGTAAAACAAGTGGAGAGAATCGACACAAGTTGGGCAAAGTGGTGGGAAGTCTGCAACAGCCAGCTGATAACCCCCCTGTTGCTTGTTATAGTCCGCGTGAACTGTAAATCACGCAGCAAAATGCACGTAAAAAATAGTGCTGTTCTTGTTTTACCAACATTTCTTCCCATTACGTTTATGGGTTTACGACAGGGTGTTAGTGTTAGCCTATAAATGCCACTGCTCACTGACTGCGAGGGGCATTTTCTGCCCTTGTACATGGGGATGGAACCAAGATCTGGCTTTACAAATCTTCTTAATGCCAGGATTTAGCAGGAGCTTAGCCAAAGAACTTAATTAATGTACAACAACAGAATTCAAAATTTTGCAGATGCACTTAACGAAACGCATCAATGCCAGAAAATAATGGCTAAAACCCAATGCAGTAATTTACAAGCCTTATTATGTAATTTGGTAAACATAGGGGGCTATTGTAACATAATTTCATAACAGAAGGCATGTCTGTCACATGCTCAATCAATTTATGTCCCGGTGTCGAATGTTTTCTTTAGTGTAAAGTGCACCATTTAAAATTCAATCGGACATATAATTGAGCTCCTGTCTGAGGGGTTATGTTATTCTGACCGCTGAGCAGAAGCACCTGTGGTACATTAGCCCGCATTGCACCTAATTACATTCATATTCCATGGTTCATGGCACGCTGGGTCTGAGAACATCATGCACTGCAAACAAAGTGGCAATCATTGATTTCCTGCCTATTGTGTGTGCTTGTCTCATGCTAAATAATTGGGGGGGGGGGGGCAAAGAGGTAGACATTGTCATCAGGAATTGTGTTGACAATATACCCGAAGAGTTGGCAGCTGTCACAGCTGGGGACTAACAAGAGTGAGTGAAGGCATGCACGTCTGTTAATGAAAATGTTTTGATATTTTTTTTTCCTCCACTAATAAATAATTTCGTGCAAAGGCTTTTATTCCAGTCGACGTGCACGTTTTTTGTGTTGCCTAATTTCTGCAATTACGCATGTAGTAAAAAAAAAACGCAGGACGTTTTGCAACAAAAATGAATTCAGTCTTCTGCAGATGTTTGTTGGCTCCGGTCACTGAGGCTAACACTTGATTCAGTCGTGTTATCGTTTCGTTTAATATTGGGCCTCATAAAATGCAAAATGAAAACACGTGGCATTTAACGGACAAGGCTGAGCTGTGCGTATCTATGGGATGGTTTTAGGTCACGATTGTGCAACTGGGTGGCAGTTTGAGTTTGCACCGTATTTTGAGCTATGGTGTAGTGTAGAGGTTGATGTTTTGACTTGTATTAACAAACACCATTACACACTCTGACTGACTGTGGTCAATAACAAGGTTGAGAAAACCTGAAATAAATGGTACTGCACTGAAGACTGGTTCCTAGTGAGTTACGAACTGCTCTCTTAGAATAAGCCTGCCAATATTTGCTGGATAAGCAAAACGAATTAGACTTACAAAAGCAGTAGGAACGAGTACGTGGTTACTAAATAAGATGGTTGGGTAAGACATTAATGGTGGGAAAACGTGGCTATGCCATGAGAACCTCCAAGAGTGAATGAGAAGACGTCGGTGCATATTGGAATGAGCCAGATGGGCTTAATGGTCTCCTTCGCATTCCAAATCGTAGCCACTTGCAACTCTCGCAAGTGGCTACAAGCTAACCTAAAACAGTGGGCACTTGATTTGGGCATCGCAAGAAAAAATACGCATGTTCTACAAAACAGCGTCTGCAAGCAGGTGTTCCGTAACTGCACATGCGTGTGTGTACGTGCAGTGGCACCGTGACGCGCGCAAGAGCGTCGAATCCCTGCTGGTAATGGAACACTCGGCAGAACACATCTCTTGCTTGTTTCACCGCACCACCACTTGCATTGCTCCAGGGGCAAACCCAGCAGGGAACTTGAAGAAGCTGGGGGGGGGGGGGTGTGTGGAGGGGAAAGGAGATTTATTTAAAAAAAAAACTAAAATGTCCCTTTCCCTCCCCTCCCATCCAAACGAGCCGAAAAAAAAGCAGTGGGGCGTTCCTCGGTTAATCGCCAGCACGTGCGTACCCCCTAAGAGCCACCGAGAGCCACACAGGTGTGGGCAAGCGGTGGCGGAACGTTTACATTTTTCACGGGGGAATTTTGGGCTTCAATATTCTTGTTGCGCAGATGTGGGACAGAAGCGTCGATTAGAATTGTTTTATTTTGTCCGGGGGTGGGGTGGGTGGTCGTGGGCGAGAGTTGAAGTGACAGAGAAGCTAACATTTCCATCACATTTCTCCTGCCTAGGGCTTCTTTGCCTGAGAGTAAAGTTGATGGCGCTGCTCGCAATGTCGCTTGCCGGAGTGCGGCTCCCGACACAAAAAACAAAAATCTTCCTTATACCCTTAACAGACCTGTTGGAGAACGTGCTGTTTGCGCCTATGAAGGCCGGAACGGCACACGAGGGCGTGGGTGAGTGGCCAGCACCACGCTCGGCCACCTTTATTTCCTTAGTGGTGACATTTACACACCGCGCCAGGTATTTATTTGAGGCTGAGTCGACCTAGAGGAGGCCCAGGATCGGTTCAGATAATCATCACTGGAGTTGACTGCGAGCGGGCATCGAACCCAGGTCGTCGGGTCAAAAGCGCAGCCCCCAACACAAACACGCGCACGCAAACGTGACCACGGGATGCTTTGCTCCCTTCTCACCCCTGCCTCCTTCCCGTCCATTGTCCTCTTGTGTCCTCCTCGCAGGTCCTGCCTGGGAGCCAGCAGGAAGAGGAGAGGGACCCCACCTGGGACGCCTGGGGCCCGTGGAGTGAGTGCTCGCGCACGTGCGGCGGTGGGGCCTCTTACTCCATCCGACGGTGCCTGGCGGGCAGGTAAGCTCGTTGCTGCGGGACGTAGACGTGAGTTTTGAGCCGCTGCTTTGAGTGTGATGGTGCGCGTCTGTGACTTAGCAACTTCAGAGGTGGCATCCGACGGTTTGACTTTTTCAGAAATGTCACCATTGCATTGGTGATTGGTCTCCTAGCGATTGAGAGCTCGGTTCGAGGGAGGCGGCTGTCACTTTTTGGACACGTCGCCTGTCTTGATGCGCAAACTCCTTCAGCAAATTGCGCAACTTAAGTTGGCGGTTGAGGTTCGAAGTGGACCCCTTAATCCGTTGATCAAACAAATCACTCGAGGTGTATGGCAGCAAGAGCAGTTCATGCGAACGCTGTCGCAAGAGGTCACAGGTTTGGCGCAACGGTCCTTTGCTGACTATGTGTGATTAATGAATGAATGAGGTGAGGTTGGTGGAGCATGCACTATCATGCATGGTGGAGCACCCAGCCAAAGGGTTAGTAGAAGGTAAGAGGATGGGAAGGAGGCGCCACGGTGGCGAGATGTTAACTATCTCGCCTGGTATGCAGGAGGTCGTGGGTATGATCCCGACCCTGACGCCTGTATATTTTGAGTTTGCAGGTTCTCCCTGTGGTCGCGTGGATTTTTCTCCAGGTCCTCTAGTTTTTCCCTTCACATTAAGGAACGTGCGATTACAGTATTTATCTGCAATACATTTATATACGATAAGCCACTTTGTTGAGCTTGCATTTGTGGCCAGGTCGCTTCTGTGGGCCTTACCTGCTAAAATGAAAATAGTTTATCGTTTAAGTAGTTTTATATTTTTATGTACATATGCATGTTGGATTTATTTCACACTGTACGTAGCCAACCGTACTAAGCGGTGGTGAGGTAGTACAGCAAGTAGGTTGTTGACCGATGCGTATGAGCGTTCATTATTTATATGCGTTTGCTCCCACACGCAAATATACTCAATATGGAATTGGCCAAACATCCAAAGCAGGATAATTCCAAAAACGAGTCATTAGCCTCAGTGAGGCTTTCCAGAGTAAATCAACGGCAGAATACTATATAAACGACCACTTGCCTCCGTGCAGGCAAATAGACTGCATCCGTTTTGCATCACTAACTGAGGCAACATTCATTGAGGCAACATGTGGCCAACCAGCATCATCAGCTCCTCAGATTACTCATTGTGGTCGGTGAATCCCACGAGGATGGCAGCACAGCAAGTTGCTTCGGTCTCACACTCAACAATGAGCGAGCAATCAATACCCACCATGTGTGCGATAGACAAACCCACACCTATGTCTGTCTGCAATGAGGCAGTTAACATAGCTAGGCCTCAGTGGTGGTCGTCTCGTTTATGTTAACGTGTTTTGTACTTCTCAACGAGAACCTGCTTTAAAATGTTACGGTAAATACTATAAATTGTTGAGGGCTGTTATCCAGGATGAACACCCACGGTTAGGTCTGTATGTTATGGTAGTGAACTGAATTAACTAATTTGGGGGGAAACTACAGGTCATAACATCTTGTTTATTGTGTTGAGTACAAATGGATTTCTGCTCTGTTTCAACATTTTAAAAGCGGCCAATAAATTCTTTGGATTATTTGCTTTATATCTTAATGAATTTGTGCTTTAAACAAGCTAGCATGCCTGCGTGTTGTAGCCACAGGCACATTTTTACCCGTTTGTTTCTCAGTTCTCTTTGGCCGTTCGGTGGTTCACATTAACACCTCTCATATGTACAGTTCTCTTCCGCAGTCAATTCAGAGCAATTCGCCTGGTGTAATACTTTGTATAATGTCCCCAAAATTGTGTTCGACCAATGGAGGCAGTTGGGCAGAACTACATCCGCCATCCTCTTTTGGGCCTGTTTTGATTTCACCAATGTGAAATATCAGTGAGCGCATCCCAGTTCACATTTTTAAACAAGTCACCATTCATGAAGTGGTCTGCATGCTTGTGGGCAGGTTAAAGCGGCACCTGGAATTCCTGAGCCATTGTTGGGCATTCCACATTATCATGGTGGCAGCAAGTATCTCCATAGGGTGACCATTTTTATTTGCTTTGGAAAGAGATACCTTTGGATACCTGTGCATTTAAGCTATAACCTCATAAGGGAATGGCACATTGCACTTAAAATGTGTGTAGTATCTGATTTCAGTATTTGCAGAACATTTGCTAAATATGTACATGTGTTGTCTACAGAGCACACACACGCAAGCAAAAACGTGCGTACACGTGGGTTCCCACACAGTCTGGCTTCTAAATACCGCAGTACAGCTGTATAGCCTCCGGAAATTATAGAAATCAGGCCCACAAATGCTGCCAGCATGGCATCTATTAAGAGAGGCCTGCAGTGCGATACCACACCCACCAGCGTGCAAACACACAATCCCCGTGCAATTTACATAATTCCATAACCACGTTGTGAATAAATTGGGGGAAACATCGCACTGTGCTGGTCGTAATTGATACTCGTTTAAGTGTCATCTAGAAACGTAGCCCAAGCCAGGGAAATGAGCAACTTTGTTTACATCTGAGTGGAGAACAATGCCTCTCCTTCCACCTCCCCCTTGACGATGTTGTTGCTTGGCGGGGCGATCATGAGCTCTATCTAAACAAATTCGGCATTCGTGTCCTAGCGCCCAAATTGGACTGAGAAAATCGTGCAGATATTGCCGCGGTGAGGGGGGGGGGATTGCTTTTCACGCATCGCAGCGGCTTGTAGACATTTGAGATTGCGGCGATGTGGGGGTGGGGTGGGTGCGAGCGTGCGTGGGTCAGCAGGCGTGACATTCACTCAGCTAGAGGCCCATTATTTCCAGCGTCGTGGCCCCATTAGCTAAGGCGCGCTTGCCCCGGTGGTCGCCGTCGCTGGAGCAACCGCCGCTCGGATTCCCTGGACTCCTGTCCGTGGCAGGGAGGCCCGGGCGAGCCAAAATTTCGCAAAACTCGGGCTTTTAACGGACGATAGCGGCAATAATAACGGTCACTGTTTTTTTTTATCCCCCCTAGCGCTCATGAATTCATTAATTCACGTGGTCGCAGTGCATGCAGGGTCCACGTTGGCTCGAATGCTGCCTTTCACGCGGAGAAAAAGAACCCTATCCCAGTGTGCTCACATATTAAGCAGCCTGCTTTACAAATATGGCCATACGTGACCCTGATTTTGCCTTGTAATCCAGCCATTATTTACTTACACTTTAGCCCAGGGTTGTATTTCAGTGACATGAGGTAAATGATTCCTAACAATTTCATGACCACACCAGCCTCACAGTATAAACCAATTTTCATAAGATGTTTTTTTTCGCTATACAGAACTCAGCTTTGTTTCCACACCAATCCTCAGCTTAAATTTGCAAAACTTGCAATAAACATATCACTTTTAAGTCGCCACATTGTTGGATGTTTGATTGACCAAATATTTGATTGGGATGAATTTAATATTCAGCAAAGCCTGTAAACAAACACGTCTTGCATGTAACCACTCTCTGCTCATCCCGTTATAGCATTCACAGGTTAAAGCAGACTGCCGGTTCAGCTTTTTAGCAAAGAAGCCGGATTCTTTGCATTCTGCTCTGTTTCAAAGCAGACAAGTGCAGGACCTGCCGTTGGCAGATAGAGATACAGTGAAGAAAAAAGTATTTGATCCCCTGCTGATTTTGTACGTTTGCCCACTGACAAAGAAATGATCAGTCTATAATCAGTCTATAATTTGAACCTTGACAGACAAAATAACAAAAACATCCAGGAAAACGCATGTCAAAAATGTTATAAATTGATTTGTATTTTAATGAGGGAAATAAGTATTTGACCCCCTCTTAATCAGAAAGATTTCTGGCTCCCAGGTGTTTTTTTATACAGGTAAAGAGCTGAGATTAGGAGCACACTCTTAAAAGGAGTGCTCATAATCTCAGCTTGTTACCTGTATAAAAGGCACCTGTCCTCAGAAGCAATCAATCAATCAGATTACAAACTCTCCACCATGGCCAAGACCAAAGAGCTCTCCAAGGATGTCAGGGACAAGATTGTAGACCTACACAAGGCTGGAATGGGCTACAAGACCATTGCCAAGCAGCTTGGTGAGAAGGTGACAACAGTTGGTGTGATTATTCGCAAATGGAAGAAACACAAAAGAACTGTCAATCTCCCTCGGCCTGGGGCTCCATGCAAGATCTCACCTCGTGGAGTTGCAATGATCATGAGAACGGTGAGGAATCAGCCCAGAACTACACGGGAGGATCTTGGCAATGATCTCAAAGCAGCTGGGACCATAGTCTCCAATAAAACAATTGGTAACACACTACGCCGTGAAGGACTGAAATCCTGCAGCGCCCGCAAGGTCCCCCTGCTCAAGGAAGGACATATACATGCCCGTCTGAAGTTTGCCAATGAACATCTGAACGATTGAGAGGACAACTGGGTGAAAGTGTTGTGGTCAGATGAGACCAAAATGGAGCTCTTTGGCATCAACTCAACTCGCCGTGGTGGGAGGAGGAGGATGCTGCCTATGACCCCAAGAACACCATCCCCACCGTCAAACATGGAGGTGGAAACATTATGCTTTGGGGGTGTTTTTCTGCTAAGGGGACAGAACAACTTCACCGCATCAAAGGGACGATGGACGGCGCCATGTACCGTCAAATCTTGGGCAAGAACCTCCTTCCCTCAGCCAGGGCATTGAAAATGGGTCGTGGATGGGTATTCCAGCATGACAATGACCCAAAACACACGGCCAAGGCAACAAAGGAGTGGCTCAAAAAGAAGCACATTACGGTCCTGGAGTGGCCTAGCCAGTCTCCAGACCTTAATCCCATTGAAAATCTGTGGAGGGAGCTGAAGGTTCGAGTTGCCAAACGTCAGCCTCGAAACCTTAATGACTTGGAGAAGATCTGCAAAGAGCAGTGTGACAAAATCCCTCCTGAGATGTGTGCAAACCTGGTGGCCAACTACAAGAAACGTCTGACCTCTGTAATTGGCAACAAGGGTTTTGCCACCAAGTACTAAGTCATGTTTTGCAGAGGGGTCAAATACTTATTTGCCTCATTACAATGCAAATCAATTTATAACATTTTTGACATGCGTTTTTCTGGATTTTGTTGTTGTTATTCTGTCTCTCACTGTTCAAATAAACCTACCATTAAAATTATAGACTGATCATTTCTTTGTCAGTGGGCAAACGAACAAAATCAGCAGGGGATCAAATACTTTTTCCCTCACTGTAATGCGCCGGCCACATGCATATAATGGGGTAGGCTTTTTCGAGGAGCGATCGATGCTGAAATAATTGCTTTCGATAAAGAGGCTGGTGAAGATTGCAAACGGAAAATCTTTCTCATTTGTTTCCATTTGTAAAGACGACCGGCACGCGACTCCCGCAAAACCATGGTGCTGTTCAGTATATCCCATGGAAATTTCCACCAGGATGATCATCCCTACCTTCCTTGCTAAAAAGAATGTCCTGTTATGTTCTTGGTTCTTTCAGTAAAGTCACGTAGAAGGGAAACAATAAAATAATAAAAATATAAAAAATACAATTCTCACGACGTTTCGACTGCAACACAAGCAATCATCAGGTGTCAAAACCACAGCAAGAAAATTTGAAAAAAGTGGCGGTTATTTTTAATGTTAGCACCACGGAGAGCGATTTGACAGTTTGTTCAGATGGACGAGTCCATCTATGTTCGGAAAAGAGGAGGGGGGAGACGAAAATAATGGATGCGGTCTGAAAGCCACCATAAGCGTGAACAATCAATTAAGACCCGAAATAGTTTATCAAATCCTTCCAATGATTGTTAAGCCAGAATCCATCTTCTCGGTTGAAATTGTCTCTGTTTGTATATGTGGATAGCCTCATTAATGAATCTCTCATGGTAGCCAGATGGCTTGCAAATAACCTCTGTCTCGGAGAAGTCAATGTCATGTGAGCCTACTGAATTATAACAGTGATCTGCCACGGTCGAGGTGTTGGTCCTACTGTGTTTTAGGTCTGCTTTGTGTTCACGAATGCGGTCCGAGACATGTCATTTGGTTTCTCCAATGTAACTACTACCACAGAGGCAACTTAGTTTGTAGACGCCAGGGTACTGTATGTTCGGAATCACATCTTTTACACACGGAACCAGATCACGGATTTTATGTAATGTGTTGAATCAGATCACTGTTATAATTCAGTAGGCTCACATGACATTGACTTCTCCAAGACAGAGGTTATTTTCAAGCCATCTGGCTGCCATGAGAGATTCGTTCATGAGGCTATCCACATATACAAACACAGAGACAATTTCAACCGAGAAAATGGATTCTGGCTTAGCAATCATTGGAAGGATTTGATAAACCATTTCGGGTCTTAATTGATTGTTCACGCTTATGGTGGCTTTCAGACCGCATCCATTATTTTCGTCTCCCCCCTCCTCTTTTCCGAACATAGATGGACTCGTCCATCTGAACAAACTGTCAAATCGCTCTCCGTGGTGCTAAAGTTAAAAATAACCGCCACTTTTTTCAAATTTTCTTGCTGTGGTTTTCACACCTGATGATGATTGCTTGTGTTGCAGTCGAAACGTCGTGAGAATTTTTTTGTTTTATATTTTTATTATTTTATTGTTTCCCTTCTACGTGACCTTACCGAAAGAACCAAGAATATGAATCCCTGCAGTCACGAAAGCTTTAAATCAAAATTTGATGTCCTCTTAGTTAATGGCGCCTTCTACCCGTGACTACCGTATTCTGGGAGTCGGTGTCAAGAAGAGTGAACATTCAACTGCTGGTGATGCTGGTGACTTCATTATAACTTCAATTCCTATTTGCTCTCTGAGTAAACATTGCTTTAATCCTTCAATTATGACTGCTTAAGACATATCAATGTCTCCATGCTCACGAAAAGCATATGGTTATGCTGATTTCAGTTATTGAAAAAAAAATTGCATACCGAGGGTTGATGGCAGCCTGTCTGTACGGTGATCACATTTGTTAGTATGCCATCGTACATTTATATAGGTTGAGTGGTGGTGCAATGGTTCACACACTCCGTGATGAACCTCATGACTTACCTTCAATTCCCGGCCATGGCTAACATCAACCCATACTAGTTAAGTATGGTCAAACAACCATCATATCCAACACGGTGTCAGGAGATCTTCTTCTAGTCGTGGGTTGACGAAGGGCTGTAAAGAACTATCAATGTTACTATATTTTGTGTATGTTACCCTTATAACTTATTATGGGAATGTGTAATTGCTTTTTGTTACCCTACTTAAAATGAACAGGTGATGCAAATCGTTTTAACGTCCATAAAAAAAATCTTCAGCATAAATTTGCTTGCCTTGAAGTCCACATTGCCTTGAATTGTTTATCCTGTTAAGGCGCAGATGAGCGCCCAGTGTCAGCCTCCATTCTAACCTTGCACATTTGCCTCTGCAGAAGCTGCGTGGGACAGACCATCCGATACAAGTCGTGCAGCACTGAGGTGAGAGAGAGCGATGGAGGAAGCTCAGAACGAGCCACCGTAAAGCTGCGTGCCAACGGTCACGTGTTTCCCCGCTGTGTCCCTCTGTCTGACGCACCCTTTGCGAGTGTGAGAACTTTTGTTCGGTGACAATTTTCATTTTTCGCAGTGAAATGGCTCGGGGGGGTGGGGGCAGCCCGTGGTCTTTCATGTTGAATTGCATGTGCGTGCACGTATCCACGTGTTTGCAACTATTTTGTAACTGCGCCCGTTTTGAAAATGGTTTCGAATATCAAAGGGGTTGGGGGGGGATGAGAAACGTGCTATATTATTATACAACGGAAACATCAACAGCATTTTTACACAAGGAGCGTGTTCATTTCGATTTTACACAGAATTATTAAGCAATTTTTTTCTGGCTTGTGTATATATTGGCATTACGTTTTTGTTGTTGTTGTTGAAGATTTAGCAACTGAAATGGTATTCAAACTGAATGAAAACCTGATGGGGATATTGTGTGTTTTCAATTAGGTGCATTCGCACTTCGGTGATCATTGGGCAGCACTTGTGGTGGATTCCCACATTCCTGAGATGGAACCAGACCTTCCCCAGCACAGCCATCATTGACTTCTCACAAAGTAGTACTTATTTTACGTATTACTAATGAAGCATTGGCTGAGTCGATACCCCCCAAGCAGGATTTAAAATTTACACTCTCCAGCTGTTATTGCCATAAACCAAATTGAAGGGAATAATTAATGCACCTCGATACATGGGTTGTGGCTGTAGTGTAACGGTTAGCTCACTGGACTTGCAATCCAAAGGCCGCCAGTTCGTATGTGTGTAGTGTATATTGAACTTCTTTTGCACCGTACGGAGCCAACCGTGCAAATCGTAGGTGTTGGGGAAGGACAACGTATTAAACACAACAATCAGTTTTCAATCTAGGTGATGTAAAAGTGCATAGCTCCAGGGGCACCCTAATATCGGAAGAGTATTCCATACGGCCGCAGAAACGCATCTTAAAGCGCGCGATGCAGTGACCGTCTTTGTTCGTTTTGGCTAGCCAAAAGCTGCTGCTGCGAGGATGACCAAAGTTCGCATGGATGGTTTATGCTCCTTGACGAGATGAGAACTCGGCGGTTGATAACAACGGTGCAAGTTTCTCAAATTCGCCTTTAACCCGCTGCATGTATCGTGCAGCGGGTTAAAGTGTGAGTATTCCCACCAACTCCAAGATGTCTGGTCAGCAGAGAAGAGTCGGCATAAATACCCTCGAGAGGGGCTTTGTGGAACTCCCTCCAGTGGAAGCGCAAATACATGAGTAGGTATTTGCAGGGCTTCACCTTTGCCTTAAGCGTATAGTGGAATGTGTTCAGGAAATTTAAAGTTAATCCGGTGGAACGTGAATTTACTTTGCGAGGGAAATGTCCACACTGGCGTGATTTAGTTATTCTCTCTGTCTTATCCAAATGCAGACGTAATGTCTGAACCCTGCCACCTCACCAAGTGCTATTGCTGTGCTGTAAGTTCAAGTCAGGGCAGCTGTGCGGTCTACCATATATTTTCACACATCCTAATCCAGGTCAGGCCTTTGGGGTTCACCGCATTACAGGGCCGTACCATAGCAAATGTTCACCTGCCTGCTATTAGCTACACCTGCCGATTATAATGATGAAAACACATAGTGGACAACATCGTAAGCTTAAACTGAGCCCGCGGCATGCAACTGCTCCACGGTGAGCTACAGGGGCATCTTTTTTAAGTCTCTAAAATGACCATAAATCAGCATTAACCTCTACACGGCTTTCTCTCGATGGACTATCACCGCTGTCAATCATTCCTTTATGGACTTCCATCCCCTGTTAATTTTCCACATGTATTTTACTTTATTCCACCACCTTTCAATGATACGTTACACGAATCTACGATATCTAACTGTAAGTTATTGTAGTTAAAATAAGTGTCGGGTGGAGTATACTTGCCAAAATTAACATTAAGCATTCTTTTATATTACCTTTTTTGTATTATTTTACATTGATCTTCTAGCTTCTGGCCTTAGAGCACGGAATGTTATATGCCTTTACAAGGATCATTTACAGCGAATCTAATTCCTTAAGAAGAAGAAAATACAACTTCTCAAACGGAGTGATGGCATGCACATCCGTAACGCAATGGTCAAATGCCAGCCACTCATTTCTGTGAGCTGCTACATGTAATAAATCACACCAGCAGAAAACAGCACCTTGCTTTATGCATGACATCTATCCACTTCGTAGTTTTTTTTTTATTGGGTGGCACTTTAAAAGCAAAGCAAAACGAAACACGAATACAAAATCAGAGGAATACTGCTCACTGACAAATCCATACACAGATTTTTCTCCATTCCCTTAAGTTGACTTGATTTTACCACCACCTAGTGGATAAGTAAAGCTCACTTTTTGTTTGGACCTGTGCCAAAAACATCACACAGGTGCTCAGCCTAACTGGAGGGCACCCAGTGGCATGTAATGCAATAGCTTAAAATGCCTCTAAAAGCAAAGTGGGTCATTGGGATGTCAGAGACACAAAGCCGTGGTCGCACGCGACTATACCTTCCTGTCACTCAGTGCCTGTGTTTGCTGTACGAACGGAGAGGTACGCCTTAGCGCTCGCATTAGGCGCGTTTCATTCACCGGTTTCGCCCGAACGCGAGATACATATCTAAAGAAAACAGCAGAGAGAATATGGCAATTCAACAAAACAATCAAATAGATGTTGCCGCTGCGCGGCCTTTCGCGCGGGCCTTGCTTGTAGTATTCTGCGCGGTGTTTTGTGCTGAAAATCGTGCCAAACAACGCCAGGTATGACAGCCCAAATAATACATCGCAGAGAAATAAAGTGTTACCGTGTTGTGTGATGCGTCGATGTATTCCACGGGAAATTATCGCGGTTTTTTTTTAGGTAAAACACGACATGTTTTATATTAATAACTAACAAGTGACAACGGATTCAAATGAAAGTATGGAAATGTATATTTCAAAATAGCGAAAATCTAAATTCCACTAAATATCCATTTAATTGTATACATTTGCATTAAATAAACCGTTTCTGGTTGATATTTTATCAAAGATGCATTTAACACGGTTTAAATGTTACACACTGATGACGAAATTAAACAAAGCTTCGCTTATATGTGCGTTCATATAAATAAATAAACAAAACCATTTTGAAGTTTTACATTCCAAAAATAGTACTCATTGAACCGCGCGTCAGTTTTAATTTGACATGGGTCAAGTTCAGGCTTTCTGATTTATTTCCTCTGTTGCTGTTGCCCTTTGGAGTCCCTTGGCAGGCTTAGAATGTACAGCACACAGCTCTGCGCTTGTCAGTCCATAAAATTCCTTCATTTTGCTTCAGGCATCTGCGCTAGAGAGCTCAGGTCACTTCTGTGCACATAGCACAGTCTGTCCATCACGATATGACTTGGCACAATTAGGATACTGAATTCGACTGAAGTGTCCTTTTTCAAGAGCCTTGCTGTTTGGCTCTATGCACAATTGGAATTATACGTGTGTGTGTGTGTGTGCACAGGCATATGGGGAGTGATGGTCCATTCGATTCGTTAGGGTACTGCCCTACAATCCTGTTGGCCTAGGTTTCATTTCCTGCTGTACACAATATCAGTGGCAAGTGGTATCTGGACCTGTCCTGGACCTCTCCTAGGTCAATAAAGTCTTAAATGAGTACTTACTCTGATGTACATACATCACTGATTAGGAGAAAGATGACCTGGTGTGGTGGTGTTGACCACAACAGCCCACCGCGTGCTGCCCTTAATAGGCGCTCAAGAGCAACGTTGCCCCTACGGTCTCTAATGCTAAATGGGGGATCTTTGTCTCTGCACGTGTGAATGTGTGCTCAGCCGTCTGTGTGCATTGCGCGCGTGTGTATGCGCCGCGTGCGCGCGAAGCATAGTTTTCCTAATTTTTTGGAGCGGCTATTTTTAACCATTCGCTAAAAATTTGGCTGCGATTCACAAGAGCGGCCCGCTCTCTGATTGCCCGCGTGCCTTAGGATCAGACGAGCGGAATGCGGAGCGCTGCTGCTGCTGCCAATTGGATAATTCAAAGGGCTCCCAAGTCAAGCGTCTTCACAAACGGGGGGAGGGGGATGCTGCTTTTGTAAAAAAAAAATGTATCAGGGGGGAGCGGAGGCGTGCGGGCGAGCAAGCGCGACAGTTGAGAGCGATACACGCTATCCCATTTCTTCGTGGAGATTGTTAAGGTCGACGCGGTGCGCACGTGCGTGCACGCCCTCACCACGTGCTCTCGCGCGCGCGCGCGTCTTCCCCGTGACGTCACGCCCTGCGCGCGCCGCCTCTGGGCGCGCGTTGACGCAGGTCGAGCGTGACGTCACACACCCCCCCTCAGGCGCGAGCGCGGGAAATGTTGACGGCGCTCAGCGTACAATTAACGCCTCGCTCGTCGGCAAAGAGTGAGGAGACCCGCTCGACGTCACGCGAAGTCGAGATTCTCTCCCCCCCCACCACACCACCACACCCCCCGCATGGTGGAAGCTTCAGTACCCTGGCGCCTACAAACTAAAGTTGCCTCTGTGCTAGTAGTTACTACATTGGGGAAACCAAACGACATGTCTCGGACCGCATCCGTGAACACAAAGCAGACCTGAAACACGGGTAGGACCCAAACACCTCGGCCGTGGCAGATCGCTGTTACAATTCAGTAGGCTCAACGCGACATTGACTTCTCCAAGACGGAGGTTCTCTGCAAGCCATCTGGCTACCCTGAGAGATTCGTTCACGAGGCTATCCGCATATACACACCAGGCGAGTAAAGTTAACATCTCGCCACTGTGGTGCTACTCCTCCTCCTCCTCCTCCCCACCACCCCCCACGTGCGATGGAGAAAACAACGCAGGCTTGACGCCCTCCGTGTTCCGTGGGTGTGCGGCAGGACTGCCCGGCTGATGCGGGAGATTTCCGAGCGCAGCAGTGCTCGGCTCACAACGACGTGAAGTTCCGCGGGCAGTACCGCGAGTGGCAGCCCGTGTACGAGGGCGCCGAGAAGCCCTGCGCGCTCTACTGCGTGGCGAGGGGCACCTCCCTCGTGGAGGAGCTCTCGCCGAAGGTGCTGGACGGCACGCGCTGCGCCCCGGGGTCCCTCGACATGTGCATCAGCGGCATCTGCCAGGTACCGGCGTGGCGGGCGAAATTACACACACACACGCACGTCAGCGTTGCTTACTCGCTTGCATGGCGACGTTAATCCCTGCACCCACTGGGTCGGGAGTAACCCCGCGCTATGAAGATCTGTGGTTGGTGGTGGGAGATGAGGACGCGTGGTCCGAGATGTGGTGACATGTGGATTGATGGGTTGGCTGGAAATGAGGTGACAGGGATGAGGGGAGTGGGGTAATGAGAGAGGGGACCGTGGGGATAAGAGGGTACCGTCGTTTTTCTCTGTGGGAAGGGCTGCGTGCAGGTGCAGCACTTGTCGTAGTTATAAAAAGAGAGAGTCGAGAGAGAGCCAAATGGAGTAGGAAGAGAGGGGGTAGAGAGAGAGGAGGGGCAGAGAGGGGGGTAGAGAGAGCGGGAAGGGGTAAGGAGAGCAGAGAAAAAAACAAAAACAATTTTGTTGGGTCTTTCATTTAAAAGGGGGGGGGGGGTTTGAATAAAGCAAAGCATAAAAAACCGAAATGATGAACGGAGCAAAATGCCGAATACACCGAGCATCTTCTTGTTTCCTCTGATCGTAAAAAAAAGAGGGTACGTCGGAGGAGGGACGAGGAGAGAGAGCTGTGCATGAAGGAGGGATCTGCGTGTGACGGAGGTTGAATTAACGGACTGAACCCCTTACCCCTCTTGGTGTCTTGGTGTGGAGAGGGCCAAACGAACATCTTTTGGCGATCATAATTTCTATAGGGGGGAGCTGAGCCTTTGGCTGGGGGGGGGGGAGGTTAGCTCCCTCCTGCCCCCCCCCCCACCCCCTCACCTTCCCTCCCAATGCTAAGGGGCAGGGGGGTTGTGTGTATAAGGGTTTATGGTGTGATCTGCTGAAATGGAATTTCCGAACTAGAAACCACTTGATGCCGAGGCCTCCCATATATGTATGTACTATTGGGCTTTAATTTACAGTGGGCAGTAAGCGTTAAATTATGATGTATGACTTATTTCCCCAATCTTCAAAACTAGCGATGCTCCTGATTTGGTGTGTTCCGGTTGGACCGGGTCACGTGGCTTCATAATGATCTATTGCAGAAGCGTTTTCTTCCCGCTAACATTCCTGACACCGTGTGTGGTCAACCCGGACAATGTATAAATGGTGGTCACAGAGGATTGAGAACAGAATACTTGCATAACGTAGCACTGGTGAAATAACAGATTATCATGTTATCCTTACGAGTTAAAAAAACGTAAAGAAAAGTGAATGAAACCTTGATGTACAACTTGATGAGAACCATTTTTATACAACATGAGAAAAATTACAGCGTTGGAGGGGTTGAGTCTGAGCATAATTTTACGATAAATGAGCTCCAACAATGCCAGACCAGAGTTCACTAGGTTATTATTATTTTATTAAATAAAAAAATAAAAAAACCTTTCCTTCTTAATTATCAGTGAAGGTTTTTTCATTATTGAATTAAAGCAAGGACTGCTGTTTTGATTACGTGAATGTGTGCATCAGCATGAAATCCAATAACCTCCTCCTGCAAATTTCTTCAGTAAAAACACCCTGTACATAAGTCACGGTGACGGATGTTTCTAAAAAGGTTCACAGTTTTTCGGAATGTATGTGAATTATGGCTACGTGACATTTAATACGAATCTGTTGTCCACCCAGGGTTTGTGGTGTAACTTAGCTCAGAATGTTGCTCTTCATCGAACAAACATCCAAAAGCTTCCTTCAGTCTGGCATGAATCTCCGTGGCATGGATGCAACCGTAAAAAGCACATACCGCTGGGGCAGCCACTATTATAAAACGGACAACCAGAGTTAATTAATCAAGCAGCAATTCAGTAAGTTAGATGCAGGATTGAGCTCAAAATTTATAATTTACTCAATATGGCTGCGCATATAACAGCTGACTTGTGAATTGCGAAATGTATCATTTTAAGATGTACGTGCTGTCAAAAAATGGGCCCAGTTTTGTATTTGCGTTTGTTTTGCCACCTCCCCGTGTGATAATTTAACGTGCGTCACAAACTTAATTCTGCACAATTCTTGGCTCGGTCTACAAAGCACTCAGCCAGAATTGTTAATTCGGAAATATTAACTCAGCTAATATCCGTAACATAGTTAAATAGCTACTCAGTATTTAATTACTTAACATACTAAATGAAACTTGGTTGTGTTATGCACTAATTTAGAATTCATTAATGGCCAAATGTTATCACCAACTTTCTCAATCTCCACTGACCATGACTTATTACAAAGAGTTAGGAGTCCAAATAACAAATACACTGCAAAGCCTCGATGGAAACTAATATTTAAATGCCACAAATTATATTTAAATGGGCGATGTTTTTTGCCAAAAATCTTGCTACATGGCATCAAACATGCTATGTTTAATTGAGGCTTACATAATAAACAGCTGTTAAACCAGGCTGTTTGCTGGGGTTATGTAGTTCCCGTTTTTGAATCTTGAATCAGAATGCGAGTATTGTCTGTGAACTAAATCGCAAGCAGACTCTCGATGCCATATGGCAGAAGCTTTGACCTTGTGTGCCCTTGACAAGAATTTGATCTCTCCCTTCAGTGAGCCTACCTTGAGTGCAACACTTGAACAAAGGTCTCAATGTCAGTCATCTAAAAGACCATTAATGATTTTTTTTCTACTTGCATTCACAAAAAACTGGTGAAACGGCACAACAGGAATGTGAGGAATAGTAAGAATGTGAAGCGTGTTTGTACGGTATGCTGGCTCGGTGCGTGCCATGCGTTGGCATGGTGAGTCCTCCTTCCGTGTCGAGGAATTTCAAATGTCTGCCTCCTCTTCTATACGTTCTCTGACCCTTGTGTCAACCTATGCCTGCCGGCTCATTAAGCGCAATGTGAACGAAAGATGGCCACCTTTTTTGTGACTATGGTCGTATTAAGCCTCCCAAAGTGGTGCTGACATGAGCGCGTGGTGCATCCTGAGTGAACTCCTCGCCACTCTGAATGGCATGCTGCGTAATTTCCTTGCCGGGCCTGCGAATGAGGTGAAACGTTTGAAGAAGCGGCGGTGATGATCCAATTTAACGGACCATTTTAAGTCGCGCCAATGAACTGCACGTGGTAGAAAAACCGCTTCGCAAACTTCCGCAAGCTCGCGCGCCCCCCCCCATCTCACCAGCGCAGCTTCCCCCCCATGCCAGTGCGCTCCGTTCAGATGTCATGTACGCAACGCCTTGATTTAACACCATGCAGCACGAGATCTTGATTAATATTTTAGTTAAGTTTGCTTATTTTTGTTCATCCAATGTACAGCCCGTTGAGCTTAAATTCTACTTTTCAAGGGGGGACCCCAAGCAGGGGGATTGGAGGAAAACAGAAAAATAAATAATCGAAATTCAAAAATATAACGGCGAACAATTTGAAAGGAAAATTCGACCACAACAGCGATAGCGCCTCAATCCTTCGGCACAGCCATTCAGACAGTGATGATCGGTGAATCAAAATACACGACGGTCAACATGCAGGCAGCTATAATAACGTCGTATGTATAAGTTAAAATGGAATAATTTTTTCATGAAGTAATTAGCGTAAGTGGTTTGTGTTTTCTGGGAGATGCAACTATAAGTTATTGGCTCGATTTGGTGTAACACGGGATCCAATCGATACACAGACATTCAGTAGAGTGTGTCGATATTTTTACTGATGCTATTAGTAGGGATGTAACTACAGCAAGCACCTATCTGCTAATCAGCTGAATCGTCAAATGGTTCATGGACAGTTTGATTCAAGAAGCAATGATCATGTTTCTTTGCGGTATATGGTAGCACCTCTAGTGGCTGCCGCGGTCGCGTTAAGCCATTACATACAACCGACACAAATTGTAAAAACATCCATTCTTTCAAGCAATTCATCGAATGCGCCGTGAGCTTACGGATGCATATGAACCAATGAACCGTTTGTCGCTTGGTCACGGACCTGGTTCTTGGCTTCTCCCTGCAAAATCATACGTTCGCACAAGAAGGGCTCACAAGTGACGTCATCACATTTATCCCTCTATTTACAGAACAAAACAGGAGGATTTCTCCACAAATCTGGCTGTCCGCCTGATGATGATGCTAGTTGTAATTACTGACGAAACGTCGTACTCAGATTGTGAATGTTGTGGATTTGCTCTCCAACACACCGGTGTGCTGTACTAGTGACGAATTAGCACGTTCTGTTTACGTGACAAACTTTACTAATTGGCTGTGTCGGGTGGTGGCGGGTTTAACGACACTTTTACATTCACGCGATCAAACCCAAAAAACCTGCATTATGGAAAATCATACATCTCAACAGTGGGATGTACCAAGAGCATTGCCATTGGCAAATTAAAGTGTTGAGACTTGCGAGAGGGTTAAGCTGGGTGATGTTTTACTTTGCCCTTCTTTCCAACCCAGGCGAGGTGCACAGATGTTCTAGACAAGTGTTCGCTCGCAGTGTCAACATCTGCCTGTCTTGTTCGCCCGCATCCAAGACAGCATCTGTGTTGTTGTTTTTGTTTTACCGGCTGCACGTTAACAAACTGATTACGTTTCTCTGCTGTTCGGTTTCTTTCTGTGCTTGCTGTATTTTGTAGCCATGGGTGTTTCCGTTGATTGTAAAGCCAACAGCATTCCGTCCTTTCTGTCTGGACTCGATTATAGCGATCGTTTTTTTATTTTTTAATGGAGGCATTAAAACTATCTTGAATGTTAGTGCACGCAAAGACAAAGATCCCCCGTATAGCCTTAGCCTCAACACTGTTGGGGCAAGTGCTGCTAGCGAACAACTATGAAGGCTGGCGCAGCAACAGGGCGAGGTGGATGGCCAGCACCACACCCGTCCGCCTTTGTCTCCCTCGTGGCGATCTTTACACACCGCACCAAGTACTCATTTGTTGCTAAGTGGACCTAGAGCAGGCCCAGGACTAGTTCGGATAATCATCACTGGTATTTTTGACTGCTTGTGTTGCGGTTATTGCAGACATGATGCCTTGAATAAAGGTGTCAGTT